GTAAAAAACATTAAATCATTTTTAGGATTAAGTTTCTATTATAGAAAATTCATAAATTCATATAGTGCAATAGCAAAACCATTAACCAATCTTTTAAAGAAAGACACGAGTTCGTATGGAGTAACGAATGTCAAAAATCATTCGATACCTTGAAGGCAGCATTATGCTCAGAACCAGTTCTTAAATATCCGGATTTAACAAAGACCTTCTTATTAACTACAGACGCGAGTAATAAAGCACTCGGGGCTATTTTATCTCAAGGAGAAATAGGTAAAGATTTGCCAATATGTTATGCATCACGCACATTAAATAAAAGTGAAGGCAACTATTCAACAACAGAACTAGAATGTCTTGCGATAATATTCGGAGTAAAACAGTTTCGACCATATTTATACGGTAGGAAGTTTATAATACTTAGTGACCATCGTCCATTAACGTGGCTCTTTAATTTGAAAAATCTATTATCAAAGTTAGCTAGATGGAGAATACAATTAGAAGAGTACGATTACGAAATACGTTACAAACCCGGAGTTTTAAATTCAAATGTAGATGCACTCACACGCATGTATTCTATTCAAGAAAAAAAAAACGAATCATACGAACAATTTCTCGAAAAATTAGAAACACAAATTATCACAAATAGTAATGTAAAAGAAACTATAGGTACAGTAATAGATTCACCAAAAGAATATAATATAGTGTCAGAAATTGCCAAGCAATATAATTTTAGAACAGGAACAAATTATCAGTTAAAAAAACAATTTGGAAATGGTACAATGTTGCCGACTAGTAAAGTAATAGGGGACACACCATACTTAAAACATGAAAACCGGTTTATAATATTCTTAGTAACGAAAAACAAAGATCGACAGAAGGCCACTTACGAAAACATGTATGTATCACTAATAAATTTGAAACTATTTTGTAAGGAAAACAATTTGAATAAATTAGCCATGAGCAAGATAGGCGATCACGATCACGATGATTTAGAAAGGGAAAAAAATAAGGTCAATGTTACAATACATATTTTGCAATACAGATATAGCAATAATTACATGTGCAAATGTAGAATATAGTGAAGAAGAAAAAGCAGTCATTTTATCACAATTTCACGTCTCAAAACTAGGCGGACATTTAGGTGTGAATAGAACTACTAAAAGTATCAGACAAAAATTTATGTGGAGGGGTATGAAAGAAGATGTTAAAAAATATATAAGGAATTGTACGTCATGTCAGGTTAACAAGGTATCAAATCGGCACATAAAACAACCAATGGCTATTACATCCACTTCGTCCAAACCATTCGAAAAAATATTTATGGATATAGTAGGGCCCTTGCCGATTACACTGTCCAATAATGTATACATTTTAACGATGGAGGACTATTTGACACGTTACACTTTAGGAATTCCACTTCCTGACCAGAAGGCAAATACTGTTGGGGAAGCCTTTGTTACACACTTCGTTTGTGTACACGGCATACCAGAAACAATACTCACGGATCAAGGAACTAATTTCCTATCGAAAACGTTTGCAAATGTTTGTAAAATATTAAAGATAGAAAAGGTTAACACAAGTACATTCAGACCGCAGGGTAACCCCGTAGAACGCGCTCATAGGACTTTAGCCGAGTACTTGCGGCATTATGTAGATAAGAATTTAAATAATTGGGATCATTTACTACCCTTTGCATTCTTTGTATATAATTCAACGGTACATACTTCTACTAATTTTCAACCATACGCATTAGTCTATGGACGTACGTTGGAGGTTCCGATTAGATTAAAAGCAGAACCTGAACCACGTTACAATTACGACGATTATATATTCGATCTAAAAGAAAATATGCAAATATCGCATAAGATAGCTAGAGATCATTTAATTAAAAATAAAATAAAAAGTAAAGAACTTTATGATAAAAATGAAAATCCACAAGAACTACACGTCAATGATTTAGTACTATTAAAAGATAATAATCATAGAACGAAACTCGATCCAATCTGGTTAGGACCGTACGAGGTCACAGCAGTAATAGGGAACGAGAATGTAGCTATACAGCGTGGCTGCAGGGTCATTACTGTACATAGAAATAAAGTAAAAAAATATTATAATGACGCACAGGTCAATTAAAAAAAAATAGTAATAATAAAAATAATAAGTAGGTATATAGCAATATTAAGTTAGAATAATTATATTAATTTTAGGAATAGAAACAGAACATTCATTTTGAAATTGGAGAAAGAAATAATAAGCGGAAACCACAATACAACCAATTTAGGCATAGGACAATTTTCAAACTGTTTTATAGGGCACATAACTAGAGCCAATAATGAATTAACCGTACCATACACCGAAGCGGAATTAAATGAGATTACCCATAACATAAAAACGTTTCTGCAAGATATGACAGAATGGAAGATTTGGGAAAAATTAACTGTCAGGACCTAATAGATTTTATCGACATTATTCCGGAACCAGAAGACCTACTATATTATAAAAACTTATTCTCAGAAAATAATTAATAACTCAATGTAATTTTATTCCAATAGAAGGTGATTCAGATGAAGATTAAAAACTGATTTATTAAACAAAAATATATATATGATAATTAATTCAGTCTAATAATCAGTTTCTCTTTACATTAATTAATCGGAATCATCATCTTCATCGTCCGATAAAAGAATTGCACGCACAACATGGTCCGGTGGAGGGGTAAACCCCTCTGGCCATTCAATCTCCATCGTTATGTCTGGACCTCGAGCTAATAAAAAATAATGATGAAAAAAAATGCATTAAATAAATTCATAAATAAAAAAAATATATATACGCACGATTTCGAATGACGTAGGTACGAATCCGGGTTTCATCAGGTTTTCTGGGATCCATGTTTTCTTTCTAGTAAAAAATTAATAAAAAAATATATAATAACAAATAAAATAAATACGATGAAAATAAATTTTAATTTTAGGAACAGACAAAGAAAATTCATTGTGGAACTAGGAATGGCGATCGAACAAGAAATTCATGAAACATATACTTTAGTACCGGAACACACGCCGAGGTGTTTAATAGGACATATTAATACTGCGATTAATTTTATGGAAGAACCATTTGGTTACTTTCGAAATAACCAAAATTACGCGAATTCTAACACTAATTATGTACGATTTGTCATCAGATTCAGTAACACCCACAAATACCTTATGTAAACGGTTAATAGATTATATGAAACTTTTACACGATGCTAGAGATATATTGGATTATATAAGATGGTTTTAATTTTATAAGATTATAATAAGATAGTTAGTTTAATATGAATATAATTTATACTTTTAGATTGGTGATGGTGACGAGTTTTCTAGTCAATAATGTCGACTCTGACGAAATAAATACATCAGAGTACTTTTCATATAAGCCTTATGGAGTTGGCAGGGGAATACAATATGAGAGTTTGGGGCCAGTTAGATTAATAGGGGCTCAATACAGTCTTGTAATGTTTTTCTCATTAAAAGAATATAACACGAAATATGAACTATTGGGGGAAAAAATAAAAAATATAACAAATTTATGTACTGACCAGAAATGCCAAGATCTGTGTGGAAAATATCAAATAGTAATTACAGATTTATATAATGATATAACTAAACAGAAAGAACGTACATATATGTCACTAGGAAGAAGTTTATAACAATGATAACGAGATTTCCGGTTCATAAAACGTGCCTGTTACATCACAAATATTATAATAATTTACATTCGATTTAAAAATGTTCTCAATTGTAAATATTTCCTTTGACCAATTTGTCTTTAACTTATTTCTATAAACATCAATTATTGAAGATAATCTTACTCTATCATTTACTTCAAATTTCGGTTTGGAATTACAAATATCATAATCATAAACAGTGGAAAGCAGTTCTTTCTCGTTTTTCTTACTTACATCAGCAGGTTTCATTTTTATTGTTCTATGGTATGTATTATTATATGTCTTAATAATCCTTGGCAATTCAGTAATCCATACATTATTTAAATTAATTAATTTTTTCAACTTATCACCTAATGTTCTGTTAAAACGTTCAACCATAGATGCCTTTTTATCGGTGCCCGTACTATACATTGTAATGTTATATTTGTTTAGTAATTGTTTTAAATCTTTATTATAAAATTCTTTACCTTTATCTACATGTAATTTTTTTGGTACACTATGTTTAAATATTTGTGAAAATGCTTCAGATACTTCCAATCCACTTTTTGTTTTCAAAGCTACAGAATAAACTTTTTTAGAAAATGTATCAATAACATTAAGAATATATTTAAAGCCATTATTAGCTTTATACAATGCCTTATGATTATCTTTAACTTTAACTTCATTATATTTATTTCTTAAATTATAATTGGGATCACTATCTTTAGATTTCGGTCTATAAAAACAGTATAAATCAGCTTGCCAAGTATCATTTATGGAACTTTTATACTTTACCGGACACCCTTTTTTTTGCGATTTTTTTGGGGGGACTTTGTCATATTTTTGACGAAAAAAATTATGGTGAAATCAGATTTTGGGGCTCGGACTTAGTTTCGAAGTTATCGGCGAATGAAGTTGGCTATTCTAAGTTCACTGTGCCTATCATGAAGATTGATGTTTTTGTTTTTGAAACTTGTGCTTTTATGGAGATTACGGTGCGAGGTTATCCACTTTATCAGGTAATTAAAAACGAAAATATCCCTCGATCTGCTATCCAAATCCACCTAAGTTAAATTAAAAATGTATATTTGTTGCGAAAATGTTATATTTAATGACGGCCGCGGCGGTGACGACGACGACGACGACGAGTGAAGTCCAAAAATGTTTATTCTTATATAATGTATAAGAATTGTAGTTGATAGTGAATAAAAATTAACCCACACCCACGGACACAATTAACAGACACTGCTACTCTGACCCTCTAAGGCTAAGGGGAGGCGGGAACGAGGATGACGATGATGAAAATGTCGTTGAAATGTCACAGAGCAGTAGTACAAGTGGTGACATGGTTGCGGCAGGCATCGGCCTGAAGCGCGGCCCGCCCTCGCCAGGGGAACATAGCGCTAAGCAGCCAAGAACAGCAAATAAGTCAGCAGAACAGAAAGAGCTCAACGACCTCCTTGGGTGGCTTGAGCAGACTGTCATGCAGGAAAAAGGGAAGAAGCTGGGTGTCCTAATCTCGGAAAAAAATGATGGTCAAACTCTCGAGACTTAGAGAAGTCACTAATAGTCTAACGCACGATAAAGCCAGATTACAAGGCGAACTGAAGGGTAAGGAAGATACCCAAAAAATGAGTCTAACGTGCTTCATTGAGAAGCTCGATAATAAGAATGCCGAGGCTAACCGCCTTCAGACAGAGCTCGAAGCGCTAAAAAACGCTAAGCCGGCGATCAGCAAAGCACCCGTCTCCAGACCGACTTACTCCGAAAAGGCAGCAAGCGCACCGAAAGTTACGGCTGCCAATGCGCCCAAATCTAGCAAGGCTGCGGAGAAAAAACAGCTGGAAAAAAGCAGGAACACCAAAGCCACGACGCGCTTCATGGTCGAAATACCGAGCTCACGGTGGCAAGTGCCAAAACCTGAATCCGGGAAACGGTTAAGACCAGGCTAAGGAACCCGAGAGCGAAAACCATCGTAAGTGGCAAGGCGCTTATAATAATTCGTGACGATAATAACACGTTGGAGGTGATAAAGGACCTCGAAAACGTAATTGAGATAAGCCCGAGGAGACCTCGTGTTATCCTGTACGATGTAGACAGCGGAATCACCCAGGAAGAGCTGGCCGAGTGCCTTGTGGGTCAGAACCCAGAACTCGGGCTGACCGAAGAGGACGTGGGGGGTATGACCCCTCTTCACAAGCTGGGCCCAAGAGACAGCGATGTCGTACATTGGGTAATAGAGGCGCCTCCGAACGTTTTGGCAAAAATAGAGAATAAATCTATATATATAGGCATGACCCGCTGCCGGTGCAAGGTGCACAGCTCCAGCCCGCAATGCTACAACTGCCAACAATATGGACACACAGCCCTGAGATGTGAACAAAAGTCACCCACGTGCAGAAAATGTGCAGGTGCGCACGATTCCCGCACGTGCAAAGCGGAAGAAGTGAGATGCGCAAACTGTAAAGGCCCTCACAAGGCTTCTAGCGCAACATGTAAGGAAAGGGGTCAGGTAAAGAGAAGCCTCCTTAGGCGCACAGACTTCGGTACTAAATGACCGACACGCTAAAGATAGTCCAGCTCAACATTTGCAAAAGTAGGATCGCCTCCTTACAACTCAAAGATTACTGCAAAAGCAACATGATCGACATAGTGCTGCTACAAGAGCCGCTGATACAACAGCACAAGGTCTATGCGTTTGAAGAAAATAGACAAATACATAAAGGCGACCGCGCAGGGGCAGCAGTCATAATACTTAATGAAGAACTGCGAATAATAAATACGAGCGATTATGTTGTGACAATCAAAATCAGTAAAAAAGACGAAACGTGTGCCATAACAGTGGTGTCGGCATATTTTAAATACAACATGCCGACACTCTGTTTCGTTGAGAAACTACATACAATATTAGAAAACGAAAGGCGGGTACTAATAGGTGCGGACATAAACGCACACTCGAAACTATGGCACTGCGCAGACCAAAACGATAGAGGACGGACGGTGGAAGGCCTAATAGAGGACCATGACCTTAGAATTGCAAACCGACGGACACAACTAATGGCATACGAACGTGAGGGAATGGGATCGTCAAACATCGACGTAACCCTCTCCACGTCAAATATATCAGATCAGATCAGCGGATGGTCAGTCTCAAACAATACTGACAGCGATCACAACACGCTTATGTACACATTAAAAATCGACAGCCGACGGCTGCCAGAGGGTGTTAATAACATGTACAACACAAGGAAAGCGGACTGGAGCAAGTTCACGACGAAACTTCAGGAAAATAAGCAAGAAATAGACGAGACCACAATAAACGCCTTCGCAAAGTCGTTGGTGCGTGCGATCCAAAGCTCAGCCAAAGCGTCAATGCCCTCTGGGAGCTGCAAGCGTCGCAGCGGTAAGCAACCCTGGTGGAATGACCACCTTACCAAACTCAAAAAGATACTGGATAGAAATAGGAGAAATGGACTAAATACAACGAATAAACCAGAGTATAACGCCTTACGAAACGCGTACCTGAAAGAAATCAGATCGGCAAAGATGGCCGCATGGAGATGCTTCTCAAATGACATTAACATTAATGCGTGGGGCAAGGCCTTTAGGTGGGCCAAAAAAGGAACTAAGCGTCCGAACATCCTCAGCACCATGGTGGATACAAACGGCGATATGACCACAACCTGGGATGACACGGCTGAACTCCTACTAGAGACCTTTTTTCCCCGCAGAAACCGATAACGTTGACGTAGTAAGGGAAGGACCACTCAATGTCTACAATAAGACAATTTATGTAGATAGGGTAAAGGCCGCCATCTGGCGGATGAGTTCGAGGAAAGCCCCGGGATTAGATGGAATTACGGCCCAAATACTGAGGAAAGCATGGCCGATAATAGGACACGAAATCACTAGACTTTTCGAAAGATGCATTATAGAGGCCACCTTCCCAGTGTCCTGGAAGGAAGCCGAATTGGTAATCATTCCAAAGCCCGGCAAGGAGGACCTAGCAAGTCCCAAGCCTTTCAGGCCCATAAGCCTGCTGCCAGTACTAGGAAAAGCACTGGAGACGCTTATCATCCAGGACCTGGCTGAGGAAACAGACCTGGATGCACACAGACAACAACACGGGTTTGTGTCTGGAAGGTCCACCACAACTGCAATCAGCGAATTATACGAATGGACAAATGAAAATAGATGCAGGCATGTCCTGGGAACCTTCCTGGACATCACCGGGGCGTTTGACAACGTGAGGTGGTCCCCGGTATTATCAAGGTTGCAGAAAAAAGGTTCAACACTGAGAACTTTAAGGATAGTGCAGAGCTATCTGCAGGAAAGGACAGTGAACCTCAACCTTGAAGGACGAACATACAGAAGATATCTTGAGAGAGGGTGTCCTCAAGGATCTCAACTAGGACCTACCCTATGGAGAGTGGCGATGACAGCTGTAGGTGACATTGCACTTGAAAGCACTGCGAAGGTAATAATATACTCGGATGACATAGCTGTTTTGGTAGGGGCAGCAAGACCCCCAACAGCCCTAACAAGAATAGAAGAGTATCTGGACGGCCTGCTGGATTGGGCAAGGACCAATGGCCTACAGTTCTCCCCAGGAAAATCACAGCTGATGTCAATAAAAGGCGGACTGAAGCCGAACTACTCCGTGGGTTTCGGATCACAACCAGACTCGGCGAGAATAACGGCCAGTGAAAATGTGAAATACCTTGGCGTAACTCTGGACCCAAGGCAAAGTTACTTGGACCACGTGTTATCATTGAAAGAAAAGAACAAAGATATGTTCATGCGACTAAGGCGCATGACCTCCGCAAACTGGGGCATGGGTCGAAACGCCGCAAGGACCGTATACGCAGCCGTCTTCCTGCCACGCATCACATATGCGGCGGAGATATGGTGGAAAGCTTGTAATCTCAAGAAAAGTATAAAACTATTGGGCAGTATGCAGCGAGACCCACTACTAGCCATAACTAGCTGTTATCGGACAGCGTCCACGAATTGCCTGTCGGCAGTGGCAGGAGTCCTACCTCTTGATTTAGAGATACAGAACACCGTGCTCCGAGGAAAGCTCCGTAAGATGGAAATTACCCAGGACGTATACGAAACCGAACTCGTTAGAATACTGAACACGTGGCAAGATAGATACGAACAGTCCGATAAGGGAGAATGGACGAAAAAGATGGTCCCTGACGTAGGAAGACGATACGTGCTCCCGTTGTGCCTGGACCATTACACGTCACAAATGCTAACAGGACATGGTGACTTCCTGGCACAATTACACAGATTCAAATTAGTAAACAGCCCGAACTGCAAGTGCACCATCGGTGGAGCCGAAACAGTGGCGCATGTGCTACTGAGATGTAAGAGAACCGAGAAGCAAAGAGCCAAGCTGATAAAGACCCTCAACGAAGAAGGAGAAGGATGGCCGCCTAGGGACGGGGCCTTCCTAAAGACCCAGAGGACATATGAAGCGCTACGCAAATTTGCGAATGACAGTCTAAGAAATAGAGAGGACCGATAACAAAGATGAAGACATCTTGAGGTCAGGACGCAGCCACACCAGGCGGTGTAAGTGCAAAGTCTCGGGGTGCCTCAGATGAGCACGCAAGGAGCAAGTGGCACAAGCGGTGAGGCACGCTCGAGCGCGTCCTGACCTGGGGCGTGCTCATGCGCCAGGGGCGAGGAGTACGGCCCAGTGGCTGGGGCCGTCGAGAATTCAGCGACAGTATTCCCTGCTTGTCGTAAAAGGCGACTAAAAGGGATCAGGCTACCGAGCCTCTAACTTGGGGGTCGCGGCCACCGCGCCGGCGGCGAGCGCCGCTGGTCAGGGCCCACCGCGAGCCCGTGGTACACGACCCAAATCCTGGAAGAATCACAGCTGAGGCTTACAGCCGACAAAGCTCGTTCCAAACATCTCACCATTGATGTGCCTACCTAACGGGGGCGTAAATGGTACTTCGGGATGTGGGGGGGCCCCGCGGCGTCGAGATGATTGACGACGTGCCCTCACACGGCGGTCGCGCCCGGCCTCGGTCGCGGCGCGGCCGACGGCGGTTTGGTTTCGGAGTGGTTGTTAGCAGGAGCTCACCCACACCTGCCGGATCTAAGGTTTCCTGGGCCTTTGTATCAGTAGCATCTTTATCTTTGTTTTGTGTTTTCATATTGTTGTTAGTTGGGGGGCTGCCCCGTGTAGCCCTACACCCTCTGGCCGCCGGCGGGCTTTATCGGCGGTTGCATTGTCCATGCCAGGGGTTAGAAGTCCGGAGTCGGCCTACTCCGGACAGTTTTTGAACGCCTCTTAGCGCCGGGCATGAGCCCGGTCGGGCGGGGTCACCACGACAAGGTGGGCGATCATCGACTCCGCGTAGTATGGGCAGTGTGCTTTGCTAGCATCAATATTCATGATAGGCACAGTGAACTTAAAATAGCGAACTTCATTCGCCAATAACTTCGAAACTAAGTCCGAGCCCCAAATTCTGACTTCACCATCGTTTTCAGCGTACTTACCTACATATATTTCAATTACAAAAATTGCAAAAAAAAAGGTGTCCGGTAAAGTAAAAATATACCTTTTTTAGATAGTGCAGCCCACTTTTTAATTATCATTCGACAAAAATGTCTGTAGTGCTAATTTAATTTAATTTGTTTACTTTTATTCCATAGTATGTAATTATCAAAGAGTAGTGTTTAAATTCCTTCCATGCTTCATTATTCACTGTGCTCTTAGATACATATTATATACATTGTTTCTTTACCTACTTATACTTTTCTGTACTACTATACTATTATAATGGCATATTATAATTGTATAGAAATTTAATTGTAGAACGACATTCAATTGCTGTTTCAGGTTTCAATTGCATATCAAACACTGGGTCAAGCTTATTTTAATATCTACATTAACTTATAACTACACTAATATATCAACTTTTACTATGGGTATATTGACCTAAACAGAACACTTAATGTTTTCTTACACAGTTCTCAATATTATTACTACTACTACTACTACTTACTTAGTACCTAGGTCTACTCCCCTTTATTTGTAAGTACCAATGATATCATTTCACATCCAATGACAATAAGTAGTGTCTAACCTACGGTTGAATTTTGTTACATGCTTAATTATTCACTGTGCTCTTAGATACATATTATATGCATTGTTTCTGTACACAACTCTTTGTGAGTTGTATACTGGATAAGTATTTTATCATTTCACTTATTGTCTTATTGTTAGCAATTTATACAACTAACTTTGTTTGTACTACAGTGTAACATATTTACTACTGTCGCCGCCGTGACAATACGGCAATAGCGTGTAGGCACCACCACCGACACACACACACACACGCACATAATATTATCTGGTTTATTGTATTGAGTTATTATTATTGTTTATTTATGTTAATTATATAAGTCAGCTGTGAATTATATAATATGTAGATAATGTGCGGTCGGTCGTCGACGTTAAGAATTAGCACGGCCGCCGAAATCGTTAGTCCGCTCCATGTTGTTGACGAGTTCCAGTGTGTTAACGATAGACAACAGTGTTTTTTCTACGCGCTCAAATCGCCGTAAAAAAATATTATACTTCATGTCGGCGCGAATCGCCATTTTTATCAATTATTATATCATATCTTGTGTGAGCGCAAATCGCCACATTACATATCTTGTATGAGCGCGAATTGTCACATTTATTATATTATATACTTTGTGTGCGCGAATCGCCGCCTTTTTTATTGTACTGTCGTGCGCAAATCGCCGTCATCTTCAATTATTATTTTTTTGTACGAATTTTTAGTGTTATCACAGGTGCCGGTAGCGGCTGGCCAGCAGTGCTCCGACTTAACCGTGAGTTTTTAAACATATTGTATTCCTTGTATTATTATTGTTAGATAAAGTTGTACCATAAGGGTTATATAATATAGTTGCTATTATTCTGTCGTGCCACAAGGGCCGTTTGTAATTTTATATTTATATTAGTTATTTTGTACAAGCCTTAGCTATTAGAGCTGTGCTTATTATTATTTGGCTGTCCGTGCGTTGTGCCATAAGGGCCGTGTACTCATATTATAATTCATTCTGTTGGACCAGAAGGGCCAAAAAACATTATTATACTCTGTTATGCCACAGGGCTGCTATTTATTATACCATATCCTTTTTGATTTTTATATATTTTGTGTGTCCTTAGATAAAGTTGTACCATTATTATTCAAATTTTATATTAAACGGCAACTAGTCATTACACAGCAACCGAGTTACCATTTTTATTAGAGTTACCCGTTCGTCTAGAATTTAAGTACCTACACACAAATACACACATACACACCCACCACACACAAGCACTCTCTGGTTTTGCTCGGCGACCCCGTCCACTTCCTTTGAGTCGCTATATACACGTACACACATTTACACAAGTCGGTCGGTGTGTGCTGCGCTACGAAGTAGCTGGTGACCGGGCGCGCGTATATCTAAGATTATATCGCACCCTTGGTACAAGACCGCCACAACTCAGAAAACATAGTTTTGAGAAAATTAAATTTTAAATTGTAATCTGCTCCCAAATCGTTACTTTTAAAACTTAGGTTTTAATACTTTGCAATTATCCATGTTACCTGAAACTTAATATTTGTTTATTGATCTACTTCGTTAAATCTCAATCAGACACAGGTAAATTAGGTTATGGCAGTTTAGAAATAGGAATCGGAATAACAAAACTGCCACATTTAGTTTTGTGTCGGTATTTCATTTCAAACCAAATATTTTATGCGCCACAAAATGAAATGGGGCAGTCTTGATTTTCTTAATAATTTCATTTAATGCCACAACACAAAATGTGGCAGTCTGTTGTTTGCTTATATAATAAAAAGTAATTTTTTCACATGACACAACTAGGTACTAATTTACACAAGACATTTTTAAAAATAATTGTTTCTATTATTGTGACTTGGTTTAAGTAATAACACATATTTTAATGCAAGTAATAACATTTAAATAAAGAAAATTAATAATAAAAAATGAAAACTTTTACATAATATCATTAAGTATAGAAACTAAAAATAAAGTATTTTCCCTCATCTTTGATGAATAATATTTATAAGTAATAACACAATATGTAGGTACCTAATGAAAGTAATAACATTTGAATAAACAAAATAATAATAAAAACTTTTACATAATATCATTAAGTAACGAAATTAAAAATTTAAAAATAAAGACTTTTCCTTCTTCTTTGGTGAATAATACTTTTATCTATTGATATACAAATTATAAAACTTATACTTATACAAATGGCTATATTATTATTAAAAAAGTAATTTAATTGTTTATGAATCATAGATAAAATTGAATATATTATAGTCTTATTTATCTTATATTATATAATTATGTTTTCAAAAAATAGTTAAACTTAGTAAAAATAAAAATACTAATCACTGTTCTCGTCATTGACTTCAGCAACACAGGAATTTGATACTTTCAAATTTTCGAAAAAATAATGATAGTTTTCAGGAATCAATTTACTTTCACAAAGATGAATTAGGTCTTTTTTTTTTTCTTTTGAAATACCTGGTGGTTCAGTGTAGAGTTTACTTAACTCTAAATCACAACTTTTTCTTTTGGCATTTCTTGTTTTGTTCATCACTATTATTTCACCAAAATCCTTCTCTTCATATGATGTTTTATAAAAAAGTCTATCAGGATGTTCTTTAGAAACTTTCAATACTTTTACATCTTTCCAAACAACTTTTTGTCCTAATGTATTCTTGTTAAAATTGTTTCCCATATTAGATGTCAATTTCTTGAAATCAATAAAATGTTGATAGTTTAATTCATGGACTCTAAAAGGCTTTCCTGTTTTTTTTGCTGATTGAATAACAGTTACCCATTGTTGAGGAGAGTAAATAGAACCTGCTTTTAATAATCTTGTTTTTTGTTTTTCTATGACTGAATGGACAGAATCCCCTTCGTTCTGGGTATGTCCAACAATTAGGTACTTATGAGTAATAGAAGAAATACTCAAGTATGTTACAGCATATAAATAAAGAGTGGCCATAAATTTATTTTTCTGCTGACCACTACAATTATCAGAATAGAATATTGTATCTTTATTTAAACAATTTTCAATTAAAAACTGATAGACACATGTTGCAATTTCGTTAGCCCCACGCTTGGCCTGGTCTTCATTCCATAAATAGCAATGAGCTTCAGTAATACCCATATTATAGACAGTAAGATTATAAGTGGCAAACTTACGAGAGTAATAAAAATTGGATACTTGAGCAGAAGGTGTTGTCAAAATGCTTTGCAAATCATAACAGGCCACTATAATTTTTTCTTTGTTTGTTTCTGCCAAGTTCTTATCATTTTGTTTTTCATTCCTAGAAAGTTCAGTTTCAAGTTTGTGTCTGTGTTTATCATTTTCCATTTTTAATCTGTCACTTTCATTTGAATTATTAAACGTTTCACAAAATGCGCATTGATCTTTTTTTGGTATAAAAAAGCCTATGTTAAAATGTGTAT